ACCATTTGGAATCTGCATATTTAAAATATTTCATTTATTATATTTATATCCTACCATTTCCTCTTCAAAGGAACTAAGGTTGCTTATATGATTTTTACAACGATGGTCTCTGAGCGAACAGGCCACCACCGCCGCCTGTCTCCCATATGCGCGCGTGCTGCTGCCTTGCAGTGCAGGCTGGGAGGTAGTGGCTTGCTAGCTCGGAGGTAGCTTTGGACTCGCTGGGAGATCACCGAGCAAGCAAGCCACAGCCGCGTGCCCGACAGCATCTCACCAGCCTGCTCCCCCAGGCGCCTCCACCTCACCAGCCCGCAACGGTCACCGCAGCCTTTCAACTGGCCCCCTATTCAAAAAGTTTGAGGACCCCTGCTATAGGCTTTGCACGTTGTACAATAGTTTCATATTTTGTTATACTTTGTGAAGGCACAGATGCAACCTGGTATTCTGGGTTCAGACTTCACCTATATATTCTCAGTTTTTTGGTCAAGTTACTTATTTCTAAGCCTTATCAGTTTTCTTTCTAGAAAATGGCTGCTGGAGCAGAAAACGATGAGTTTAGAAATATGTTTGTGTTGTGCAACCCAGACCACACCACTGCAATATGCTTAGGTACTTGGGTGTATTAGTTTTCCTTTAGCCTCACCAGCTTGCCTTTGCTAAATGGGTGATTGACCACAGCCGCCATAGTAGCCATTTTATGAATGGGCAGGCTAACTTATGACAGCCATTTTGTATGAATGCTCATGAAATATTCAAATTGTGTATGTGTCCAGTGATCTAGAAAGCTTGGGGACTCCTGCTATAGAAAGAAATGAATAAAATCTTTACCCAAGACACAGTGAAGAGATCCAATTACACATTCCTGATTTAGAGTAGGGTCTAAAAACTGTTCCTTTTCTGATGGTCACTGAGAAGCCATTTCTCTTCCCTGCCCGCCCCCCACCCAGCACCACAACTATGCCCCAGATTACAATTTGGTTTATATAATCTGATAGAACTCAGTGGGACTCACACAGAGCTCTACTAGCTCTGGTCTGCATAACCATTTCCCGCTCATGCTATGGGATGCATTGTTGGAATAAAAATTAGTTAATCATGTTTATAGCCTAGGTTTACACAATCCTTCTCCTTTCCATTTTATCCTCACAATGACAATCCTGTGAGATAAGTTAGGCTGAGTGTCTGTGACTGGCCCAAAGTTACTCTGTGAGCTCCGTGGTTGAGCAGGGACTAGAACCTGGAGCTTCCAATCTCTAGTGTGATACTCTAAGCACTGTGGCACCCTGGCTCTCATACAGTATTTACGTGTATATGGTTGTGTGTGTGTGTGGAGAGAAGACTTGACATTGCAATGACTTGTGGCAATATGAAGTATATTTCTCTGTGTTCTGCATGGAATCTTGTTTCAGCTGCAGGAACCCTGACAGTGTTGGGTTGGGGCACTCAGTGTTAGAGATGTGAAGGCAGTGGTTGACTTTCTCACAAAGCAACCTTTACTTATAGGGGAGAAAACAAATGAGTACTTCCAAGCATTTGAGTGGTGTCTAAAATTCATTTTCTACCACTAGTAATTTCCAGGAATACTTTATTTTTAACAATCAAATGACTTGCTGTCGGTATAGTCCTGTCCTGGGTTCTGTTTCATATGTGTATGTCTCTGTGTTTCCAACATAAATGTGTCTGTCAGGAATATACATATATAAGAATCAGTGTGGTCTTGTAAAGTTTCATGCCTAAAAGCATAAATTACTTTCTGGCAGAGGACTCTTCATCACACTCCACGATAGAGGACACATTGCAACATTGCTTAAATCATGGCCCCAAACAGTTATCAAGGTAAGTTGCTCTTTACATACCTGTTAGTAAATGCTTAGTGTCATGACTTGTCTGATTAAATGATAGTATAATTCACAGTTGAGCTATATAATCATCAGGACAATGGAGGGGGGATATACTATACGTGGGTGGGGAATACATATATGAATGCTCCCACATAGAATCTCTTTAAACATAGAAAACTAGTATATCTGAAAGAAGCCTAGGCTGGAACACAGGGGTCCTCAAACTTTTTCAACAGGGGGCCAGTTCACTGTCCCTCAGTCTGTTGCGGGGCCGTACTATAGTTTGAAAAAAAAAATTCCTATGCACACTGCACATTAAAAAATTAATTTAAATTGAAATACATTTTAAAAATAATTAAAATTAAAATACATTTAAAAATAATTAATATTTAAACTTAATTTAAAAAATTAAAAAATGTTTGCTCCAAATGTTTGCTTGGAGAAGGCCGCGACAGAGGTGCGGGAGCCCTGTGGCTTTCTCCAGGTAAGCTTTCTCTGCTGCAGCTTTCTCTGAGGAAGCTGCTCCACCTCAGCCTGTTCACCTTGGGCTTGGTGAGGCGGCGGTGGCGGCTTGCTTCCTCGGAGGAGGCCACACGGCTTGGCTGCCCTGGGCTCGCATAATTTAAAATAGATTTTAAAAGTTATATTTTTCTTACCCTCAATCTTTTTTCAGTTTCTTTGTCTTCATCTCTCTTTCTCTTCTGCCCACCTCTCTTCTGTTTTCCACTCTGTATTCCTTCTCTGTATATGCATGCAATTTGGGGGAGTGGGGGGTGGGAGCCAGCACACCTGCAGATGAGCTGTTGCAATTTGGCGCATGCACCGGCTCTCTGCTCAGTTTCTGAGAATGCCTGCACTGGCTCAGAGCTTTTGGACTTGTTCGGAGATTGTTTTCTCCGAGCGAGTCCAAAACCTCTGAGGCAGGCCGGATAAATGAACATGGCGGGCCGCGTTTGGCCCGTGGGCCATACTTTGAGGACCCATGCTCTAACACATTGGCTTTCTGTATGCAGATTCGTGATAAGGAAAGTTGGACATTTTCTCATGAGAAATTAAAAAACAAACACAAACAAAACTAATTATGCTCTTGTGCAATATTTTTATTAGCACCATGAAAGATTGTGCAGTTCTTTAGAATACTTAGCCTGGGTCGTACAAAAAACAGGATGGAGAAGGAACATTCAAACATCCCAAAAGTAGGCCAGAGGCTATAGCCATGGAGCCTGCAGTTTGAAATCAACATGGAGATTGCTGACTGAATGAATGTCTGAAAACAAACATTTAAAGAACTTTGAAGTGGTATTTGCTGTGCTCTCCAAGTATTCTTAGAAGTAGTGTATTTATACCCAATATTATCTACTTCTGCCAAGCTTCCATTATAGAAATGGAAATTTTATTCACTATAAAATGTATAATAGTGATGGTTCTAGTAACTATATGAATGAACTAAAATTAATATTTGAGTGTGTTATATTATTCCATATGTAAGACATATTCCTCTACACCATTCTAGTGATCTGTAGCAATGCAGTTTCATTTCCATTTGATAAAGGGCGTTTGTGGGCACCTCTGATACATCAAAGATCATCAAATGGAAGGGCATAATTAAATATGGTAATGGCCATGGTTAAAAAAATGCACTAAAATGGAATGGAATACTCTGCCCCTGTTCTTTAAAAGAAAGAAGAATTTGAATTAGCTTTGGAAAATTGTCATAGTGGTTACAATATTTATAGTGCTTACAATATTTCCCTGTAGGCTATTGTGGTGACTGATGGAGAACGTATTCTTGGCCTTGGAGACCTTGGTTGTTATGGAATGGGCATCCCAGTGGGTAAACTAGCACTTTACACAGCGTGTGGAGGAATGAAGCCCCAGGAGTGTCTGCCTGTTATGCTTGATGTGGGAACTGACAATGAGGTAAATGTTTTTCCATGCTGTCATGAACATTTGACATATTTTAAGAAAGAAACAGAGAAAAATTTGCCTGTTCAGCTAAAATATGGGTTTAGTATTCTTCCCTAGGAAAAAAAAATTATCTTGTTCCATGATGATAGCTTAGACAGTCTTTTTTAAATAACTTGTTGCATTTAGCCCAGCTGCATTCCCTCTTGTAAATGCTAGGGGTAGCGCAAACTCAGAGCCTTGTGGCACGGAAATGACCATAGTATCCTGTCTAAGGAACATGTGCCAGAACATCTCCCAGAATGGAAGAGAAGATCCATTAATACTACTCTTAGTACCTTTTTTGCATAGTGCTTCTTTTACTCTTTATTGCATTTATATATGGCATGCATCTAGTTTTAGGCAGTGTCTTGTGCAAGTGTGGGGACAGCTGCACCAAAACCAGTTCTAGTTTTAGCAGTGTAAGACCAGATTTTTATACTAAGCTAAGATGTATAAACCTTCCTGGTATAATTATTTCATACATAACTTTCTATCAGAAAATAATGGCTTGGTCTTAAGAACTGCAAATGCAATTCTTGGCATGGAATGGGACTTTCAAATCATCTCTTGCATCCCAAAAAGCTGCATCTGAATGACAGGAAATCCTCTGGAATTGCACTGATTATGGTCCATAGGCTGGTAGTCCATGGAAATTAACAACATCTCCTTCACACATGGAATAGAGCAGTTCACATGAAGGTTCTGTTCATTCCACATTACTGTTATAATTCAAATTGATTAGATTAAAGATTATTGCTTAAGGATTTCAAGTCCTAAATGGATTCCAGCATTAAGATCTACATTGCTGATTGCATGCAACACATTAAAAAAAGAATTAGCATAAATTTCATCAAACAAATATGAACCATTTTTGCCTGGTATGATTAGGTATGCCTGGGCACATGGGATTTCTCTAAAACATAAAGTGGAGTTTGTGATCCAGAGCAAAATTGTGGATATACTTCGGGTAAGGTTATTTGAATATACTCAGACAGAAAAAATGTAGTGAAGACTCAGTGAAAATATTTTGGATAGTTTAAAACCACAAACAAACAAAACCTGGTCTTCAAAATCTGTATAACTTGGAAAAAGCTGGTTCACTGCATAATCTACAGGTCAGATTCATAGAAATGTGAACTTATTTGATTCCATTGCCAATTTTCCAACAGCCTCCTCATCTCACTGCAGCTTTTCCTCTTCATAATGCCCTGTCCAGAAGCAGCTTTCTTAAAAGTGAAAAAGAAAAGAAAAAAGAAGCCCTGGGGTTCTCATATTATTAGGCTGCAAACCTGCACACCCTTATCTGAGAATAAATGCCATTGATGGGGATAGAATTTACTTCTGAGTAGGCATGTATAGTTTATATTTTTATGGAATTGATAAATATAAGAAGTGGTCTAGGTGGCTGTTTTCTGTGTAAGGTGTGTTGAATGTAAGTTTAATTTAACATATTTTGGATAACATAGTTTTCATAACATATATGCTCAGAATTATTTTTTGCTGAATCAGGTAATAATGTTAATAAACCTAAGAATGAATCTTTCCAGAAACAATACTTTGCAAATAATATAAAATTACAACAGAAGGGATCCAAGTGTGAATGCACCAAGTACAACAGCACATGGAAACACAAGTCCAGATATCAGCTAGAACGTGCTTTATTGTACATTCATGCAGCAGGGAACTCTAGAGTTTAAATATTTTCCCTGTGTGTTGTGTTTAGGGGGAAGGGTATTATTTATTTTCCTCTTGGATTACTGTTTTTAAGATTAGTGCATGTAGACTCAATTATATTTTTAAAGTATGTACAGGCTCTCATCTTATCCTCCATCAATTAAAATGTCTGAAGTTAGGCAAATGCAACATTGGTGATTATTACCAAAGTAATGCACATCCCTCTGCTCTTCTTTGCATTGTGGGACTTGCATCCTGATGCCAAGAACTTGTGACATTATGGCTGTATTCATTTCTAAAGTACCATAACCGGCATAGTTGCAGATGTGCAAGACTTTCACATTCAACACGTCTTCAGTCAGGCCTTTTAATCATTTTCAACACAAACAAGTACCTAAATGAGTGAGTGGATGTGACTGTCTAAGGCATTATCTATTGAGAAGACTTTAAAATTATAAACAGGAGAAGGCAGTTGTAGTATGAGGTGTCACTGGATCATTTCCATGCACAGATGCTATGGTTTTCTGAGGCTGGGAAGCAGGAACCTATTCTAGGGCTTCCAAAATGAAGAACCAGATATATAGTTTCTGAGTTTTTTCATTCGCTCAGTGCAACTTTTAAAGTTGCCATTTGAAAACTTCATCCTTTATTTTATTTCTATTTATAAGTAATTTCTATCTTGTCCTCCTAGTGCTCATGCACTGCTCAGACTGGTTATCATCAATTGAAAATTATGATTCAGTATTAAAAACATTCATTCTATTAAAAATAAATATTTTAAGGTACAAACCTATATAAGCTTGGGCAGAAAAAGTCCCTGCAAGTCCCAATATGCATCAAGGCCTACAAGTCCCAAGTATCAGTCTGGAATATATGTTGGGATTTTAAGGCCTTTTTTCTTCCTCAAGTTGCATGGAACTGCTCCTTTAGTCATCACTCTACATATACACATGTGCAGCTATCTCATTTTAAATTTATTTAAAGTTTTGGTATTTGTTACTTTAGCATTAATTTTTCAAAAGCCAAATATTGACATACATCAAAATATAATGTCATCCTATGCATTCTAAATTAAACTACTCATTCAAATATGCAATCTATAGATTCCAGTTCTCAGTCTATTGTTTCAGGTTATCAATGCATTTTGTCCATTTCTTAGAATTTATCTGAGTTAGCTCAGACATGAAGAACATATTGGAAACTCTTTTAACAAGTCCTCACACTGGAAGCTATTTTCAAATCGACATCTTTCTATGAAATAAAAATGATTTTTTTGTTGAAAAAATAGCATTAGTTGAAGACTGCAAACAATAATTTACAAAGAATACTACAGGAAACTTCCATTTTTTAAACTATACAACTTGCAATTTATTTACCAATGGCTGATTCTGTGCCTGGTCATCAATACAACGGGCATGTGAAGTCAGCTAATATTCTCATATTTTCATTTTACAGATAGGGTGGTTGGCTTGAAGCTAGGAAAAGAGTGGCTATGCTGAAGCCATCGGATATGTTGATGGTTGAGATAACATTTAAACCAGAGGTTTCTGAGATCATGCTTTTTAACCACTAGCTCTCAGGATAGTGTAGCATCATAGCATCACTGTGGTCCAATCTAAATATGCAACAGAATGATGGGGTAGAGGGCTGAGTTGTTCAATGGATTGTGCTACTTTCTTGACAACCTAGTGAATGTTTCCCTATTATTTATTGCTTATTTATTAGATTTATATCCCACCTTTTTTCTTTACAAAGAACTCAAAGCACCTTGCATCATTCTTGTTCTCCTGCTCTCAATCTTATCCCCTCAACAACAACCCTATGAGTTAGGTTGGGCTGAGAGTCTGTTACTGGCCCAAAGTCAGTTGCCTCCATGACTGAGAGCAACTAGAACCCAAATCACCTGAGTCTCAGGCCCACACTATACCACACTGGTTCCCTAAGTTAGAAGCTTACGCTTGCGTCCATATATGCCCTCCAGCCCCTTGAGATCAGCAACAGATGCCCTTCTCCGGGAACCCTCTGTGAATGATATTAGTAGGTTGAGTACCCGGAGGAGGGCTTTCTCTGCGGGTGCGCCCCATCTATGGAATGCGCTCCCCAGAGAGGTCCGCCTGGCGCCATCATTATTTGTTTTTCGGCGCCAGGCTAAGACCTTTTTGTTTAAAACTTATTTTAATTGTTAAATTATTTGAATTAATAGGATTTTAAATTTTTAGCCGAGAATGCACCGGGGGTTTTTAAACAATTTTTTGTTATATTTTTATTATTTATGTATTTATGTATCCTTTGTGAGCTGCCCCGAGGCTTTGTTGCGATGGGGAGGCATAGAAATGGTTTAAATAAATAAAATAGAAAACAAGCACAGCTCTTAAGGACTCCTGTGGGAGTGTCCTATTTGTAGAATGCTTAAAACACACACACACACCCCAAACATGGAGAAGCATTTAAGGACAGTGGTGCTGTGCATTTGCCAACCTTTTTCTCCTGGAAGCACTGACAAGGCATACTCTGTACAAGTGTATTTATTTACACTTATCACATGTCAGAATGCTAACAAAAAAGAATGGTTCTTGCTTTTTTCAGTTGCATTGTCTACTCTATGCTATTTATAATGATATAGAAGATGTTTGAATGGCTGACTTTGTAGTTTTACTGGTGATTTGGCAGTAGATTTTATTCAATAAACTGACAGATTTTACAAATTCTTATTGACATTTATTAATCTCTCACTTAATATAAAATTGCAGTCTTTTTGGAAGAGCACTCAAACATTCACCACTGCAGTAAATTGTTATTTCTGTCTTTCTTTTAGCTCAGGGGTATCGGGAACTTTGAAGCTTAGTGAATCTAGATTAAACACTGGCGTATATCCATTCCATGTTAATGCTACTATAACAGCCAGTCTTTTATGAGCAAAAATGTGGCACTGAAAACAGTCTTTGAGCAACTTCTGTTTTTCCTTTTTAAAAAAGTGTGTTCTATGAATCCATAGCTTTCAACTTCTCAGCTATAAGTCTAATGTAGCTTAGACTGCCCTGTTGCTAAAGTGTATGGAAAGTAATCAAACAGAAAAGGGCAAATAACTGAAACTGCAGTTCCCCAGATGGAAAAGTTGAATAGTAACAGATCTCAGATTTAAAAGCAACACTGATGAAAAAAATGTATTTTCAAGGAAGGGGACTTGCACAAATTACCAGATGCAGCTTTTCTTATTTTAAGATATTTAAATAATGTGCCAAATCATGATTTTCATTAACTATAGTTTTAGGACCAAAAGCATAGATTTTGGTTCCATG